TTTTTCCTAGTTTGAAGGATAAATATAAAGTGTGCAATTGAAATTTTTACAGAACCTTTGGGCTCCGTGGCTCCCAAAGTCGATATCAAGGATGAGGTTAACAATGCCAGGGCGCACAAATCGCACAGTGTGACCCTGATGTGCGTGGTGCAATCATATCCTGTGCCTTTTTATAGGTAAAGCTTAGTATTTTGTGTTGATAACAGTTTCTTAGGGTCCCTAACCAACATTCAGTCTTGTTTTGAGATGGCGAAAACTATTTAATTATTCAATATAAATTTCAGAGCCCTTGGGTAGTGTGGCGCCCAAGGTTGATCCCAAAGATCGCATAAATTGGGTGGATAAACATCAAGGTGTGGCATTGAGTCTATTATGTCCAGCTCAGTCATATCCCATGCCAGCTTATAGGTAATTTTTACATCTATTTCAGATAAATGAGGCTGTGTTGTTAGGGTTTTGACAGTTTACAAATACAGCACTGATTTCTAAGAAAAGGTCGACAAGGAGAATACACATCTAGATTATGCCGTTGTAATACTTTAAATGACTTGTGGAAATACTATTCTCCCCCTACGGCAGCCTTGCTCATAATATATGCATTAATAGTGGTGAGAGACTCTTTGCCCTGTGAAATCAACGGCAAATAAACATCGAGAGAGAATACGTGTGCTTTGTTTATACTTTTTCGTTCGAGGCTGCTCATAGCTTCCCTACGCTTACTTTTTTATAGCATACTTGCGCACTCTGATTCCTGATTTTGTAAATATGGAATGCATGTTGTGTAGAAGACCTCTTCCCAACATTCAAATAAGTTTTCTCTCTAGTTTTCGTATTAGTATCTTAAAAAGAGCTTATATTATTACAGAACCTCTAGGCAGTGTTGCCCCCAAAGTCGATGCCAATGATAGATTGACATTGGTGGATAAATATCAAGGCATGGATATGAGTTTATTGTGCCCAGCCCAATCCTATCCCATGCCAGCCTATAGGTAATTTTTTTACAATTGACGTTAAAATTATGATGAGCTATTAGAACCCTTTCCAACATTCAGCAGAAATTTGTCCTTGACATAATTAGCCTCTACAAATTTCTAACTTTTTTTGCAGAGCCCTTGGGCAGTGTTGGCCCCAAAGTAGATGATAAAGATCGTTTAAACTTAATAAATAAACATCAAGGGATTGATTTGAGTCTTGTGTGTCCAGCTCAGTCATATCCAATGCCAGCTTATAGGTAATTACAGAGTATAAATCAGTGACTCGTATAAGGATCTCAAAAATCCGTTTCCTAAGCATTCAGGCAGTTTTAGACTCCTAGTTTTGGGGTCTTGGAATGTTGACATTCATTACATATTTCCCCCTATTTCAGAACCCCTTGGCTCAGTGGCGCCCAAAATCGATATGGATGACAAATTGAAATTTGCCTCAAGAAAATCAGGCTCTGCCTTTAGCATCACCTGTCCTGGCCAAGCGTTTCCTACACCGGTATTTAGGTATAGATCGGAACATAAATACATTTTCAAGATCGCTATCATTGTCGTCGTGCACAGCTTACGTTATATTCCATATCAAGTTATAGGTAATAATGGATATTAAATTAGTAATTCCGGTGCGGATCTTAAGTGTCGGTTCCCTAAGCATTCAGACAGTTTTCAGACTCTTTGACCTCGAATTTCTTCTTTCATTAAATATTTTACCCTTTTCTAGAACCCCTGGGCTCGGTGGCGCCCAAGATTGACATGGACGATAGGTTTAAAGTAACATCAAGAAGAGCGGATTCTACTTTCAGTATCACCTGTCCTGGTCAAGCATTTCCAACGCCGGTATTTAGGTACTAGTCTTAGTTCACTTCGTATAACAGTATTTTTATTGCGGTTCCGTTTAAGGAACTAGTTCATTATTTCCTTGCAGTTGCTCGTTAGTTCCGTATGATTTAGTCATGCATCTCTCCCTAATTCCTAATTCAAGCTGATAAAAGACCAAAGGAACTGGGAACTATTTTCTTGGGTCTTTTATCGGTTTCCCCTTATTTTGGGTTCTTTTAGTATGCAGGTATTTACTATTAAGGTAAAGACCAATCGGTTGTATGGTTGTGGTATTCGTAATTTATGTAATTTTTCTTAGTTAAATGACACCTGGTTAATTTTCGCTCATTCGGTAACTTATCAGTAGATATTTCAGTTGTTTTTAAATAAGCTATAAAGAATGACTTTAATTGAACTAGTTCAGCTGTTCTGATTAGTGAAACGTTAAATTGAACTAGACCATTTGTGAACTACACATCATTATTGGATACCTTGACCAAAAATATTCAGGCGGTTTTCGTTTTGATCTCATTCACATATCAAATAAGTTTATCCTTTTCTTAGAACCCATGGGCTCAGTGGCTCCCAAAGTCGATTTAAATGACAAAGTGAAAATTGCAATAATAAAATCACAGGCTTCGTTGAGTTTGGTTTGTCCTGCCCAGGGTTATCCAATGCCGGCATTTAGGTAAACACAAAGCCTCAATTATTTCTAAGACTATCTCGACACAGGCAGTTTTCAGAGCAGCATTTTTATACTTGATCTAAAAAGTTAATTTTTATAGAGCCCGTAGGTTCCGTGGGACCAAAAGTTGAAATCAAAGACAAGGTGGGCATATTTTTGGGTGAATCCCAAAGCTCCTTGGCTTTGCTGTGTCCAGCTCAGGCCTATCCCCAGCCAGCCTATAGGTAAATGGATTTAAAAATTAAATGAATATATTAAGGGGTTCCATATCCAAGCTTGGTTGTCGAATGAATAGAAATATCCCTAAAATAAAATCAGTTGAATTCGAAATTCGTAAAAAACACATGTTTTGTTCCTAAACTGCAATAATGTAGAACTTTTTAGTACGATAAACGATTTTTCCTTTAAGATGTCGAAAATTTCCAATACTAGCAGATTCTTGCAGGTTCTGGAACAAACAATATCGTTTGCCCAATATTCAGGCAAAGTTTTCTTGGCATTCAGGGAATATTATTAATTAAAAAAATCCTTTTGCTAGAACCCATTGGCAGTGTTGGTCCTCGAGTCAACCATCAGGATGAGTTTCGTCATGAAAAAATCGGAGTACAAGGAACCATAGCTTTGCAATGTCCAGCCCAGGCTTATCCGGTGCCGATATATAGGTAATTGTTTGAAGAATTTCCTAACGTTTTTGAAATGCTCCAAAATGGCGCCCAACAGTTGGCACGAAAAAGTATATTTTTACCACCTAAGAAGTAATTTTTTTCATTTTTTTCTTCCATACAAGAAAGTTTGAGATAGATAAAATGTCAATGAGTAAAAAAAATACTTAGTTAATGGCGCCCAATGCGAGGCACAAAAAATGGAAGTATATTTTGTAACCTTCTTCCAAATACATAATATTTTTTCATCTTAAGCATTAAAAATAAAGCATACATTATTTAAACAGTGGCGCCCAACAGAAGGGCTTGACAAGTTTTTTTTTTCAAAGTCAATGAAGAAAATCGTCAGCCTTTAAAATTTATGTTTAGCGGAAATGATTCTACACCCAAAACAGTCAGTTAATAGCTTTTAAAGTAGGGCACTAGAATAGGTAGCTAATGTTGTTCTCTCTAAATATTGATGTATAAACTTTTGGCGCCCAATAAGGGGCTTTAGTGATTTTTGGTCCCAAGTAAACATTTAACGTTAGATCCCGAGTACATAGCTAATGGCGCCCAAAGCTTGGTACGGAAAATATAGAAAATAATATTACAACCTAATTTCAAATTCAAAAAGATAGTAAGCTAAATATTTTGAACTCTAAAAAGAGGGGCGAAATAATCGCCACATGTCCTTGGTACGGAAAATATAGAAAATAATATTACAACCTAATTTCAAATTCAAAAAGATAGTAAGCTAAATATTTTGAACTCTAAAAAGAGGGGCGAAATAATCGCCACATGTCCTGGGAGAAATACAATAAAACCAATAAAGGCCAGTTGTGCGCTCTAGACTAAAATGTTATTGAAATAAGACTGACCGTTTGCAGTCTATTATATTTAAAATTCAGATGCCATAAAAAATCCTTAACTGTTTTATTTCATTTACCATGATCTGATTAAGGTCTGGTATGGAGTCTTTCCGTAAAAATTTGGATCTGATATTTGCAAACGCTGGACATTTAAGTTTCCCCGCTTCGCCTTTGAGTTCAGGCAGTTTTCCACTCTATTTCAATCTTCATTTACTCACATCCATATTATTTTCTTAGAACCTGTTGCCAGTGTTGGCCCTCGTGTTAATCATAAAGATGAGTTTAGCCATGAAAAAGTGAAAATCCATGGTCCGATAGCTTTGCAGTGTCCAGCCCAAGCCTATCCGGTTCCGTTTTATAGGTAAAGCCATAGCTAATTATTTAAAATTCTTCAGAAATCAGGTATTTTAAATGAAAAAAAAAATATTCTTCGATAAAGTTGATACGTAATCGATATTGATAAAGACTAAATAACTTGAGAAACCTTGTTATCGATCAACAGAAAATTAAAAAAAAATGTAAAATCGATAAAGTTGATACGTAATCGATATTGATAAAGACTAAATAACTTGAGAAACCTTGTTATCGATCAACAGAAAATTAAAAAAAAAAATGTAAAATCGATGCAGGGTTTTCACATTCTCTACTAATCGATAACAATATTTTCAGCTTTCATGTATATTCTTCCAACGTTGGAAACTTCATTTTATGGATAAGAAATTGATACTTTTTATCCAAATTTCAATATGCCTCTGTATTTAATTACAACGCTATTGTCGATTTGATATTTTGATGTTGGTTACATAAAGAAGTTATTGATATGTTGTCATTAGTAAATTTTCGAAATAAGGTGGAAAATATTTCAATTTTTCGGATTGGACTTTTCAGCAAAATTTTCTCGTTTTGTAAAAAAATACTCTAGAACTTGTAACATTCAGGTAGTTTCGGTAAGTTCCTTATGGACAAAGGAACTAATATTCGTCCTTTTGTCTCCCTCCAGAACCCATTGGCAGTGTTGCGCCACGTGTCAATCGTAAGGATGAATTTAATCATGACAAAATCCCCCTGCAAGGCACCATTGCCATACAATGTCCAGCTCAAGCATATCCTGTGCCAGCTTATAGGTATGTTTCTAAGATATTAGTAAGGGTTCCACCTTTAAATTAACGGCAGTTAAAATACTGGTACTACTCAGGGTCAATCTCGAGCATATGCCCTCTCAACAACATTGAGTTTTTCTAACCCGAAGATACATCTTCTTAATATAATTTTCAATTTGTTTCTAGAACCTGTGGCTAGCGTTGGTCCCCGGGTCAGTAAAAAGGATAGCTTTGAAATTGATACCATTGCTCAGGGTGGCAGTTTGGCCATATTGTGTCCAGCTCAAGCCTATCCCGTGCCAGTTTTTAGGTAATTTGCATTCGATTTTTAGCATAAGACAAGAGGTTATCTAGATTCCAACATTCGGGAAAGTATTCAAAATGATGTCACTCAAACGATTATAAAATATTTAATTTTCCAGAGCCCTTGGGCAGTGTGGGTCCACGAGTCAATCGCAAAGATAGTCTCAACTCGGATACCATTTATCAGGGAAAGGATATAGCCTTGTTGTGTCCGGCCCAGTCGTATCCAGTGCCGTTCTATAGGTAGGGCATATATGGGGGTTTTAAACCAGCCTAAAAGTATGCACCTGTTTTAATTGATATTCATCCACTACATTAATTTGAGTGTCCGTACTGATAAAACTAGTATAAAACAAAAATTAAAAAAAACCTGTTTTATCCAGAAAGTGTAGAGTATCAGAATTGTCAGAAATAGGTGTTTATCTTCCGAAATCAACTTATAGCTTATACCAAGCTTTTCACAAGCTGAAACTATGATACTATTTTTACGCAGTCAAAAGGGCCAAAGAAACCCCAATTCTCTTCATTTTGCCCGCACCACAACATTAATAGTATTTTTATTAACTTTCCATAACGAGCCTAAAAGTATGCACCATTATTAGGTTTACACATTAACATTCAAACTGTGCAGATTTTCAATTTTATTTAAAAGTTCTTAAAAAATACTTAGTTGGGTAAATTTTTTGATTACAGAACCAGTTGCTAGTGTCGGGCCCCGAGTTAATACCAAAGACAGTTCAATAACTGATATAACTCACAAGGGCAAAGCCATAGCCTTATTGTGTCCGGCTCAAGCCTATCCGGTGCCAGTGTATAGGTAATGTTCGAATATCATATAGTTAATACCAAGGACATTTTGATCAAAAATCCACTTCACATTTGAATCTAACTCTCAATGAAAAAGGAGGAATAGAGCTTATACCGCGTTTTATTTTAAAATTCAAAAATTATTATTTTATTTGCCTATATCTACAAAAAAAAAAAAAATAATAATAATAATAATAATAAAAATAACTAGTATTAGTTCAGAGGGATTTGTAGAGGCAGTTCATTCCATGTTCCAACTTAAGCTTGTCTTCAACTAGTTCCACATACTAAACCCAAACTTACTATGACCAATTTCTTCAAATATTTTCTCGTAATTTAAAGCTCCTCAAGATAGGCAATTAGATTGTAACGTAAGCCCAACATTCAAAGCAGATTTCCGCTTGAAAAGAAATATTTCAAATATCTTCACATTCCCCTATCTTTGCTCATTTCTCCTCCCATAGAACCCATTGGTAGTGTTGCTCCCCGCGTCAACATGGCCGAGCAATTACAAAAATCTGCTGTAAGCCTTCAATCACCAGTTGCACTATTTTGCCCAGCCCAATCCTATCCGGTGCCGGCCTACAGGTAACTCAAATGCTCACCAAACTTTTCGTATTGTGATTTTGCATTATTAGTTTGACGTAAATCCTATTTAAGGTTATTGACATTCGCTTGCCCGCCCGGCCAGCCATCCAGTCCTCTACCCAACAAAAAGGCAAACGTCAAAAGTTTTTCTGCTTTTGAAAGTTTTCTTCTTTTCTTCTTAAGTACTTTAGTTTAGTGTTTTGATTGTTTGATGAGGACGATGACGAAAATCTTGATGTTGTTGTTATTGTTTTTGTTATAGAACCTGTTGGCAGTGTTCCACCCAAAATAAGTGTGGGTGAGAGGCGCAAAGATGCCGAGGCTCGAGTCGAGACTTCGTTGAGTATATTTTGTCCGGCTCAATCGTATCCAGTGCCAGTTTATAGGTAGGCAATTAAATTGGTTTTTTGACAATATTTATATTAACTACCTAAAAGTAGGCAATGAACTTTTCTAATTGTGCCTAAAATTATGCAACACCACCATGGCAAAAAATTCATTAGCTCATAATTAGATTATTGATTGCGATTTATAAAATATACACAATTTCTTGATCATTGACTGTGCCTAAAAGTATGCTCACTTTTTTCACAAAACTATATATGATTCATTTTCAAAGAAACCAAGACCCAAGTATCCCACATTCAGAGTAGATTCCAATAAAACAAAATTTTATTATACATCATATTTTGTATCATCCTCTTCAGAACCCGTGGGCAGTGTTGGACCCCGCATAAATTTGGTTAATCGTCGTAACGATGCCGAGACAGCCTTAAATGCAACAGTTAGCATATTTTGTCCAGCTCAAGCCTATCCCGTGCCATTTTTTAGGTAAATTTAAGCTGAAATGATTTTTTTATTTAGAAAAATGCAAATAAGGTTTTCAAACAACTTCGGGCAGTTTTCACTTGGTGGTTAGAAATTGAATCATTTTTCATATTTATCCAATTGTGTCATTTTATAGAACCCATGGGCCATGTGGGACCCAAGATAAGCATAGGTGAACGTTTGAGAGATGCCGGCGCCAAGTTGGGTGCAAGTTTTTCATTATTTTGTCCAGCTCAGGCCTATCCAATGCCAAGTTACAGGTACGAAACAATTTTTTTGGAATTGCCAACTGGGAAAATAATTTAATGGAGTCAATGAAAAAATTCATAGAATAAATAAAAGAAACAAACTTCATTATTCTGTCGGGATAAGGCTTTTCTATGACTAACTTTACGACATTAAATTAAGTTTATTAACTTTGCCAACTCAGAATTGATTTCACATAAATTCCACGTAATTATTCACAGAATCAACAAAATATTAATTAAATTGGTAAAATTGTTGGCCAATTACTTTGGAAATTTCTCAAAAATAAAAATTTGAGAGTACCACGGCCAATCCTTCAGACAGTTCAATTAATCCCACATCAAATTTTCAAAATTTCTGTGTCCCTTTTCCAGAACCCATTGGCAGTGTGGCACCAAAAATTGCCGTCGAAAATCGTTTAAAAAATGCCGAAGCCCCATTGAAACATAGTATAACTTTATTTTGTCCTGGACAATCATATCCGGTGCCATGGTTTAGGTAATGTTAGGAAATATACATTTCGATTTATCAATTAATACATATTTTGTGTGATAGTAGGAATATAAAAAAACCAGAGATATGAAAAATATCAAAAGATATAATTAAGAAGGAAATCGTTTAAAAGTGGGAGATACAAGGAGATTAAAACAGAGAACATTATGATTTTTAATAAAATAATTGTCTGATATAATTAACAGTTATATGAATATATTATTATTTTTATGAAGAGACGCAACATCCAGTCTTCTGTGATAATAAATTGAAGACACTTTACTTGCCTTCTGAGAGATAAGGGCCATTTTTTTTATTATTTTGAACGCGTTGAACCATCTGTCCAATTCAATCTTTCAATTTTTGTTTCCCCATTTCGATTTCTACATTTATCCAGCAATTCTTGAATTGCCACATAGAGATGGCGTAGTATTAACTATGACCTGGTATTCTTTAAGGAATATGGCGCCATCTCGATTAAAGGTATAATTTCTCATTTACGTTGAAATTATTAAATATATCAAAATAGAGCCAAATAGAAGGAGAGAATATATAATACACACAATCGGAGAGAGAGAGACGGGTTTATCGAAACTAAACGTATCTCTCTAGTTGTGGCTTTGTCGATAATATTGGACGCGTAAAATTACACAAAACTCTCGTCCAGTTTAGCTCTATATTGTCATATTTTATCATTGCAACCTTAATGAGAAATTATATTTTAATCTAGATGGCACCATATAATCTGAAGTAAACTGGGTCTTAGTTAATACTGCACTGCCATCTATGAATGATAATTGAAAAGAGTTGTAATTTACAAGTGGTGAAATATTGAAATTGAAATGGGGAAGCTAAAATTGAAGGAATTCAAAGGATGGATTTTAGAAATATAGAATAGAAATTCGAAATATAGGAGTTGAGTTAATTTTTTGTAAAAATGACTCACATACATCGCTTTGTTTCAAATGCGCAGAAAAGATATAAGATGATTTTTCCTTTAAACCATATTATGCTCAGCTTTGAACGTGAGGTTTCCGTTTCTTTCAAGAGATTTAATTGTATCACTCATTTGAATTCAGTCAAATCAACAAGATTGACCCAATACTATCACAACTCTTTATAATTTGCAGTAAAATGTGTCTCTTCTAATATTACTGTGTGATATTTGAAAGTATTAATTTACATTAAATACACAAATTATCTAAATATATTAAGAAACACAATTCGACATTTTTCAGAGAAAACATTATTATTTTACAGACGGAAACAAATTTTTCCTAATTGATTTTTAGTATCATAATATTATTCCAAAACTGAAGACAAATTCAACTCCAAAAAATAGCTGATTTTTCTATGAAAAATACTTTATCCAACCTTAGATTCTGGAAGAGTCTTCTCTTTCGAGAGAATAAAAAGTACGACCTGTTTGTAAAATATATGTCAGAGCTATGCCATGTGATTATACCATGATATTTTCACCATTTCTTTTTTTTTGTTTTCATTAATGCTACGCTGCCATCTATATGTGACAATTGAACATAGAAATTTCAACGTCTGGTGAAATAAAAGTTGAAAATGCTGCTTCCATCGATACGATGGCAACAGTTTTTGCCAACATACGGATTAATTTGATAATTGTAACTTTTTAAAATAGAATGGTTTGGCGGGAGAAAACGATAGAGATTTATAATGAAGTCGAATGGTAAACTTCTATTTGACTTTCCGAAACTAGGTCTACTTTTTATTACATGGGGGAATCG